ACGAGAAAACTACTAAAGCGCTAATTGAATTCTGCATACGAAAAAAATCATTGAATTACCTGAGTTTATCGGTATGGGATTCTAAAGATAATTTTAGAAAGGAAGCTGAAGCATATGTTACATTGGTACCTTATGGAAGTAATATTATTGTTAACTGCTAATTTCTATATAATCCCTTTATATGTGGCAAAAATGCTGTTGTCAATGTATTCTGGTCAAACTATAAAAACGCCAGAATCAAATTCTAAATATAATAAAATCTCCCAAATCATAACTGCGGGTCCTAAACATAATAAATCATTCAAAGTTTGAACTTTATCAAATAGATAAATTATCAATTTAACATCGAATTTATTATCGTCAGGTACCAAATAGTATCGTTAATTACGTTAAGGTTGCATTTGTTTTTTTTAGTTATCACTAAGTTTTTGCTTCTATGTCACAAAAAAAGAAAAAGCTTATCGCATTTAAGCCACTATGACTTTGAGATCACAGAGTTTCGCCAAGAGAATTTGACGCTGTTTTGGAAATAAGTTTCGCCTAACATCACTATTTGCCTTTATAATTTAGACAATCCCTTTGGAAGCTTTAATTAAAATATGACAAAAGAAAACTTATTAATATATTATAATATATTAAATTTATTAATAATCGGTTTATATTGAAATTACTAAAATGTAAAAAGATTGCTTTACTAACCCTGAAGAACAAATATATTAAAAGCAAAATATATTAAATAGAAAATCGATAAACATAAACTAATAAAGATTATATAGCAAATTTTGTTCAAAAAGACAATTATATAATTTTATCAAAGTCAACATTTCGCAAGTGATGTCAATTCGCCCAACTAAACATCATCAGGAAGTTAACCCAATCATTATCTTATATAAATTAAATGGTAGTATTAAATAAGTGCTTGCTATGCTAATAATAATTTTTAACTACTTGGTGTTTTATAAGTACTTATTTATATCTATTGCAAGTATTTATTTATTATTATAATCTTATATAAAATAAATATTTATTTTAAATACTTTACAAGTACTTATAATAATATATATTAAATAAACAATTAATTATAATATTACGACAGGGTGAAACCTGTGCTGCCAATTAGTAAAATCTGCACAGCATGGATTTCACCCTGTCAAATAAAAGTTGCACCAAAACTTTGAACGAAGATATCTCAATAACCACCTAGTTAAATTTGATGATTTTTTATTTGTATTCTGTGGATCCATAAACTCAAATAAAAAAATTTTCATCGAATTTGGTCAGGTAGTTGTTGAGATATTTTCACTCAAAGCTTTAGAAAAAATCAAACTGCCTATAGGAGTTGCGCCAAAATTTTTTTAAAAGATCTCAATATGGCCAAATTCGATGAAAATTTTTTTATTTTAATTTTATAGATTTTTAGAATTCAAAAACAAAAAAAAATCTATCGAATTTAGTCATATCAAGATATCTTTATTCAAAATTTTGATGTTTTGATTTTTTCTAAAGCTTTGAGCAAAAATATCTCAACAACTATCTTACCAAATTCGGTGAAAATTTTTATTTGAATTCTATGGATCCACAAAATTCAAATAAAAAAAAAATTGTCGAATTTAGTTAAGTGGTTATCGAGATAACTTCGTTCAAAGGTTTGGTGCAACTTTTATTTTTACAGGGTAAAATCTGTGCTGCGCGGATTTTACTAATTGGCAGTGCGGGTTTCACCCTGTCGTATGATATTAATTAAATACTATAATAATAAGTGTTAAATAAGTAATTAATTTTAATACTTATTTTATACCATAATAATTATTATTCTACGTTTTACTATATTTGCACTACGGTATTTTTGGTGTTATTAATCATGGCTTTTATCACTAAAATTATATCAACATTTTAAGTACTATTTATTTCCCAAAACAAAGCCATTATACCACCCAAAATAATACTGTTATTTCCCCGGATACTTACTTTATCGGTGGGGATATAACTTTTACATATGAAAAGAGGGCATAATTAGGTTCTGCATTATATAAAATTCTCTTCGGTCAAATAGTATTACTAGTTTTGTACTATATAAAATTGTCTTGAACCGAGAAATACTATTATTAGATTCTGTGCTATATAAAATTGCTCTTGGTTTAGAAACAGTATTACTAGGCTTTGTACTGTATAAAAATTGGGTTGGATCAGAAAATAGTATTACTAGGTTTTATACTATTTAAAATTGTCTTGGACCAGAAAATAATATTAACAGGTTTTATATTGTAACTGACTTGAAAAATGTTTGCACTATATAAAATTATCTTTGATCAGAAAATAATATTAAGTTTCGTGTTATATAAAATTGTTTTGGACTAGAAAGTGGTATGTTACATTATATACTATACAATTCTTTGCAGTAAAAAAAATTCAATTTATTAATTCTCAATAGCAAAGTAAGCCTTTATTTGACTCTATTGTATTACTAGTTTTATAGATAAAAGTCCACATTATTTTTGAAAAGTAAATTTAATTTCTACTTTACAATTATTGCAATTTTCTATTAAAACCCGAGGCATATCATAAGCTAAATTAGAATTTATATAAGGTTGAGTTTCTTGATCCTCCTCAACAATCTGAATACTTTGAGAATCATTTCATCATTATTTAAAGTAGGTGATTTGAATGGGATATGAAATGGCTTAGAAGCATCAAATGGTTTAAATTTTCTTAGACGAAAACTTCTTTGTCTAATTGGGCCGGCTACTTGATTAGTTGGAATTGGTGCTAATGGAGATCGTGAAACAACTTGCTTGATATCTAAAATAAAAAACAATTTATATGTTTGTATAAATAGTAAATAAATAAGTAAAATAAAATTTACTTGAATTATGATTGTTATTATTTGTAGTTTGGCTTTGTTCTATAGATGAAATTATCTTTGAGACTGTATTATGCAAGATTTCATGAGTAAAACTTTGGTATAATGCTATGCCACCAAGGGACCAATGCCCACTGAAAGCCATAATGTGATCAGTAGTTACATTTAATTGTATAAGTATTTGAATCGAAGTGCGTCTTAAAGAATGATTTGTGATTTTTTTTAGATTGGTATCAATTCCTGTAACATGGCATATTTCATGAATCATTTTTCATATGAATGTCATCCTAATGGTGCATTGTGGAACCAAATTCCCCTTATAAAATCTAAAAATAGAAATCAATATCAATATTAAGATTATTAATTGATACAATACAGTTATTTTACACTAGCCAAAAGCTGGCAAATTGGGTACAAATCAGGTATGCCATATTTAAAATTGATAACTACCTGATTGTTGCTAATTTTTAAATTTGGCAGCCCGATTGATACTGATTTATGGAAAATCGGCACACTATTAGATATAAATCAGGTATTAATCAGAGCAATTTTTTGCAAACAACAGTATTAGTATAAAGGCTTGTACTCATATAAAA